TTTACTAAAAGCTTGATAATGTTTTGAAGATACATAATACATTTTAAATAGTATGGAAACTTCATTGGTCACTTTGGGGTTGTGTGGTTGATGTAATCCAATGAGTCAGTAGTGAAAGAGTTGATGGGGTTTTGTATGATCTAGAGCATGCCTCATTTGAGCTGTTGGCTTCCTGCCTTTTGTACAACCTTTTTCGCTGGACTTGTTTCCTCCTGCACAATCACTGTCGTTTGGATGTCTATTCAATAGATGCTTCTCATTCCCCTTTCTCTGCATTTATATATTCTCCTCTCCAACCCATCCTTTTCTTCCTTGAACTTCATCTGCCCATGTGGTTTACAGTACTTCTCTCCTATTTTTCTTCCTTCTTTCTCTTGCTTATTAAACCATTTGTACCCAGATCATTTCCTGCATCCTGTAGGACTGTTCAATGTGCCTTTTCATGGACCCCCCTTTTGGGGTCCCAATCTTTGTCCGAGACCTCTCCTTTTTTTCAGGAACCTCTTTCTACCCATTCTGGATGGGTCCATGGACTCCTTTGGCTCACATGTTCATTTGGGATGTAAATGATTGCAGACTCTTTTGCATTTATTTATGTTCTATTCTTCACCATTTTCATATCCTTACATCTCTTTCTTCTCTGGCCACTCTCTACACATTCATCTCTTTTTGTACACCTTCTAGCTGTTTTATCTCCTGATGATTTTGGGTTCCACAGATCACCATTCTACAATCACTCTACCATCTTTATGATGAACATATGTAATCTTCCTCTTTTAGGCCCACTTTTTCATTTCATAGGATTCCACCAGGTGGCTGGTGTTGCTTCCCAGGTTATACTTACCCAGAATCCACATTCAGCCAGGATAAGAGATAGTGCTCATACCATCCGCCCTGGCTCTACCTGTGCCCACTGAGAGATGGAGTATTCTGTAAAACCTCTCAAGGTATCCTTGTGGTATTTATGTATTTCTATTCACTCAGTTGTGTGATGTAGACTATATCTATTTCATGGACTATCATGGAAAAAGCCAGGGAAGTGGTTTGCTCACTCCACTGGCTATCTTTTAAAAATAGAGTTTTGCAGTCACCTATTGCACTGTCTCCAGAAAAAGACCTTTTTGTACTGAAGGCCCGAGCCTATCCAGTAGAGTTGAGATGAGTACATGTGTTCTCCCCCCTGCAGCCAAAGTCTGTTTAGTGGAGTTGAGATGTTCACATTATTACATATAGACTATATATTATGTCATTCTCCTGCAGATTAAAATCTGTTCACTTGAGTTGAGGTGAGCACTCACTATGCAGTGCCTATTATATATACATATGTAATATGTTCTCCTTCTGCAGCCAATGTCTGTTCAGTAGAGTCAAGATGAACACACTTTATACTGGTTTATACTCCTTAAATATACTGCCCTCTTCCCACAGTTGGACTTATTTTCATGGAGTTGCCTCAAGAGTAGTGGCATGCATATCTCTTTGGCAGACATGTGAGGAACATAGCTAAGTCCATGTGAGGAGGTGAGTATATATTAGAAATATATTTTCAGTTAAGGAAAATGTTAACTTTTTATCTTATTTCATATTTTCCAACTTTTTTGCTAAAGTTTGTGTAAGGGTAGAGAAAATAAGAGATAAACATAGTTTTACTTAAAAAAACTTTTGATATTCATTTAGGAAGTTTTAGAGGTTATCTGAACAAAATATGAAAAGTGAATGAAAAGAAATATTTTTATTCTATGCATGAAAATCATCTTTCACTCAGACTGACTCAATAACATCTTCCTTAGTTTACAGACAGAACTTTAGTGAAAATTCTTTAAAAAATCATATTTTTTATGTGCAATTGCCTTGTAATGTTTACTAAAAGCCTGCCCAATTTTGTGTAGATACATTTGGTACATTAAATTATAGTATGTATAGTTTCATGGTTACATGATGTCTACAAAGTTGGTCAAAGTGACCAATCCCATATACATAGGGTTTTAATTAAGTAGTGCCCATGAATTTCTCTTATTACTTCCATAATACATGACCAAACCATGGACCTTCTTTTGCCCCCACAGAATCTACACTACTACAATGTAGAGATTTAGTTTTTGATTTGATGGCCTTGAAAAAAACAGGTTCATCCATTTGATATCAGTGTCAGCAAACCTGCTGTAGCTGTTTTTTTCTTGATAAGACTTCAATGATTTGTTCTACTCTCCCAAAAGGGAATTTGAGAGACAGTGTCATGATGGAAATACAAAATAGGTCTAAGTTCATAAAAAGCTTCTTCCAAAATTTGTCCTCTGTGAAACTGCTTAGGCAGTTTCATGACATGACCAGCCTTTTCTCTTAAAGATATAGAGGCCTTAGCCACTACAGGTATAAGACAAAACACTGTGCTCCACACCTGATGAACTTGCGTGGCTTTACGGGTACATCCATGCTACCCCCTTGGTATATTACTTAAAAGGTACTTAGGCTGATGAGGTACTCTGACGAGAGGAATGCCTTTTTTGAGTTTCACCTGCTCCACTGTATTCTCCCATGAATATAGACCTATTCCTTTTTACTCAGGTCCTAGAATTTACTTCAACTCTGCTTGATCACATTATTCAGTTGTTGTTGTCTAGATTGTTATCTTCCTGCCTAAGAGCCCACATTTTGGTGAACCAGTGCTACATATGACCCTCTAATTCCTCCTTTTCCTTAGTGTGTCTCTTCTGGTATTTTGTATTTCAGACTCTGCCTGTTTGAATTTTACATTTTTAGAATTAAAAGAAACTTCAAACATGTGCTTACTTCTGAAACATGTTCCCACCAACCTCCCCATAATCGGGAGATATTTGATTTCCTTCATATACAAAATTTGGATTATGGCTGGAAAGCAGACCTTGCATGAATCCTCTTGATGCTGGCACAATAGGTCATGTGGGGGGTTGAAGAGTGGAGGATTCAGTTACCTGACACATGCTCTACATTCTGTCAAAGGCATTCAGAACTTTAGTCACGTGGTTGCTGAAAGCATAGGAGCAACTCGACAAGGTAAGGCTTTTAGTTAAAATGTGAGATTTATCAATTTATCTGATTTTCTACACCTCATGAGAAGATATGCAACACATTCATATTGATGAATCATTAGACTATATTGAGATTGATTGATAGGATAAACCATAATGTTTTTAAGGTTTAGATATTTTCCATAAATCTGACAAAAAGCACTGTTGGTACATGTGTGCAATTAACTGCTCATGACTCTGTAAAGTTATTACACTGTATTGTGTTTTTGTGAATATACCATTTCTAGTTAGTGCATCATTTCAAATATACCACTTGGTAACTACAAATAAATATTTTTATTGAGTTTAGATTTAATTTTCACTTGTAATCACCCCTTACCATACAGTTCTATATGTTCACTAAAATCCTTTTCTACATTTTGTGTTTATGCGACTGAAATATTAAGTGTACATTTAATTCATTTAATATTATGTATTATTTAGATTAATCAAAATATGAAATGAAAATATTACCACAATGATTGATATGCTACATTGGTAAGTAGCAAAGTAAAAAAGTCTAAAGTTGGCTTTGAATGCTGCTGGCTTTGTTGTTTAAATGCCTACGAGGGTATGAGGTATGAAATTCTGACTTTTTGTAACTATTTCATACTTGTTATTTAAAAATTATGCACTTGGCTTGTGTTAAAGCTTCTTGCAGAATCATCAAAGTGCCAATTCAAGCTGAGTAGTGTAATCATCTTGACCTTTACTAATGAGTTTTATGGTATCTGTAGTTACCAAAACAAGAAGAATGTTTAACTTTACTAATGAGTTTTATGGTTTCTGTAGTTACCAAAACAAGTAGAATGTTTAGCTTTATGAATGAGTTTTATGGTACCTCTAATTACCAAAACAAGAAGAATATTTAGCTTTACTAATGAGTTATATGGTTTCTGAAGTTACCAAAACAAGAACAATGTTTAGCTTTACTAATGAGTTTTATGGTACCTGTAGTTACCAAAACAAGAAGAATGTTTAACTTTATGAATGAGTTTTATGGTACCTGTAGTTACCAAAACAAGAAGAATGTTTAACTTTACGCCATAAAACTCATTAAACATTCTTCTTGTTTTGGTAACTACAGGTACAGATACCATAAAACTCATTCGTAAAGTTAAACATTCTTCTTGTTTTGGTAACTACAGGTACCATAAAACTCATTAGTAAAGCTAAACATTGTTCTTGTTTTGGTAACTACAGGTGCCATAAAACTCATTAGTAAAGCTAAACATTGTTCTTGTTTTGGTAACTACAGAAACCATATAACTCATTAGTAAAGCTAAACATTTTTCTTGTTTTGGTAACTACAGAAACCATATAACTCATTAGTAAAGCTAAACATTCTTCTTGTTTTGGTAATTAGAGGTACCATAAAACTCATTAGTAAAGCTTTGTTACCAAAACAAGAAGAATGTTTAGCTTTACTAACGAGTTTTATGGTACCTGTAGTTACCAAAACAAGAAGAATGTTTAGCTTTACTAATGAGTTTTATGGAACCTGTAATTACCAAAACAAGAAGAATATTTAATTTTACTAATGAGTTTTATGGTACATGTAGTTACCAAAACAAGAACAATGTTTAACTTTACTAATGAGTTTTATGGTATCTGCAGTTACCAAAACAAGAAGAATGTTTAGCTTTACTAATGAGTTTTATGGTACCTGTAGTTACCAAAACAAGAAGAATGTTTAGCTTTACTAATGAGTTTTACGGAACCTGTAATTACCAAAACAAGAAGAATATTTAACTTTACTAATGAGTTTTATGGTACCTGTAGTTACCAAAACAAGAAGAATGTTTAGCTTTCCTTTGTCTTGCTGTTACTATACCTAAAATGCATTCAGTCTTGACCTATTTTAGATCAGTATTACTGAAGCTTTTGCAGATATAGCAGAATATACTTAATATTTAAAATTTTGTTTAATAAATAATATTATCTCCCATACAGAGACTTTGTAGATGCTTTCATCGATTTTCCTAAGCCATTAGTTGCAGCTGTAAATGGACCTGCAACTGGCATATCTGTGACATTACTTGGACTGTTTGATGTAGTATATGCTTCAGACAAGGTATAATAAACATAATTTTTTATAATGTATAAATTTGTTGACAATTATGTATTATTACACTGAATGAGACATTTTGACTAGAACCAGATTAAAATTTAACTGTGTGGTAAGTATACAGACTAAACTATTTTTTGAATTGCAATTTTCATTTAAATTATAAGTATTTAAAAAAATGTAATCACGCCATGGGTTATCCCACTTTTTGTTTTAGCAAGAATAAATTTAACTTATGAACTTTTGCTATGTAGTAGTAAAATTCTTATTATCCATATATATTTAGAAAAATTAATGTTCTGTGGACTTATTGAAATATTTTATGCAATGCTTTTCTTTTTTAAATGTGAATCTTTTATTGAATATATAATAAATCAACATGCCCAAAAATAATGCTAACAATAAATAATGTTAATGTAAAATTACCTATTTAATTAATGCTGGTGTCTGTGTTTTATATGGGCATGATTTTAGTAGTAAGGTTTTGTTTTCTTTTTTGAAAGTGTTATTTGGTTTGTCAGTTGCACATTTTAGTATTTATGAAAAATTTTCACAAACATAATTGGTTTAGACTAGTGGTTCCCATTCTTTTGTCACTTAACAGATTGTTAAAATCTTTGTAAAACACTTATGGACTATAAAGAGTATTTTGGCCTATAGTTTTGTTTCCTAATCTAGCTTCTTCAAGAAGCTTTCAATTCAAGTGAAAGTTATGAGGCTCACTTGTTTTACAGTGAACTAAGGTGGAAACATCATATTATTTCTAACACGTAAAACCTTTCACAGAAAGTGTGTATGTCACAAGACTTTTTTCCTTCTCCTTTCACCTTAGATGTTTCTGCAAAACTGCAAAAACACACATGAACTGGCAGTTGGGAAATTTGTTCAGACTACTAAAGGTACCATATCCACGAGTCACTAGATCACTACTCTTACTCTATCTATCTATCTAGTGACTGTCTTAATTGACTTTGTCCTCAATAATCTCTTTTTTTTTTCCTGGCTTTAGTCCTGCTAGTGCTTATAGTTGCAGCAGCTGCCATATTTCACCATTCCTTCCCAGTCCACAAGTTGCCTTTGCTGTTTTGATAATGACCAAGCCCTCAACTTGGAGGAAGTGAACCTTATATGCACAGTAGCCAGTTCAGTTGTTCAGTCATGCAAAGTAGCACAATTTCATTATTTGCTTTTCATTACCAAGCACATTCCAGTTGCATTTGCATGTAACTATTGTTGGTGGAATGTTTAATGCTTGCTTAGCAATTTTATATAATTTACATCCCAACTGAGTCCTATTTGAAAGTGCAATGATACTACATTACCTTCATAGAAGTCCCTGCTTCATGTTTAGTTTACTTCTATATTCACCCAAATCTTAATGAACAATAATTGAACTAGTGTTGAGAATATGTTCAACTGCCTTCTTAATTATGCCTATGGCTTCAGACTGCTCATTTTCTTTCAAATTGCAACTTTTGTATTTTGGAGTCCAACATGTAAGCTTTATTTGGGCAGGATGAAAGCAAAAATCTTTGTAGCTGGAAAATGAGATAATCTGGATTGTCTTCATCTTACTGCTGCTTTTCTTGAAGATAGGGATTACCCTAGGTAGCAAAGGTTTATAAATTCTGGACTTTATGATGGCATACAAGATTGGCTGCAAGAGTCCCAGAGCTCCACTCGCCTTCACCCACAAAACTTCACAATTAAATTTTTGCCATGGATGAAGATACTGATTTATTGGTGTACTGACTGGTTTAAAATACTTCTCACTGTTAACAACATCTTCAAGGCTCTTAGTAACTGATCCTCAATGAATGTTTTTATTGTAAAGTAGAGCAGTCTCCTTTCTCCCTTTTCTAACTCAAATATCTTTTGATTACTTGTGAGATGTGTATCTTCCAGCAGAATTTTAGATTCTGCTTGATTATTTCTCTACGTTTGTTCAAATACTAAGTTTGCAAATGGCCTTAGCAATTGATGCCTGTGGATTTATAATTTCCATAGTATGTGACTGAAGCATGTACTTTCTTTGACACACAGAATTTATAGTATCACTGCAATATACTTGCCAGCATGAGATTTGGTTTTTGATTTAATGGCCTTGAGAAAAACTGGGGTTCAGGAATTGCAAACACAAAGTTGAAGTGTTTTCCTTCACTTCATCCCATCCACTTGTCATGAGTGAGCCTGCTGTAGCTTTGTTTTTTTTGACAAGAATTTGCATCTATTTGTACATTTTTTCTAGAGGGAACTTAACAGACAGAATCATAATGGAAATACAAAAGCAGGTCTTAATTCATAAAAAGCTTTATTCCAAAATTTTTCTTCAGCAAAACTGTTGTGCACATCTTGAATTCACAGTTCATGCAACATGTTTTACCAATTCTTTTTGTTGCTAGGACGATATTACTTTAAAAAGTTCATACTGCATCAGACAGGAAGGCTAGTGTGGCATTTGATTGTCTTAGGAGTTATCAGTCATTCATGTGTCATTAGAGGCATGATTGTGATTGCTAAAACTGCATTAGATGATTGAGTATAAAAACAAACTGCTGGTTCTTTATAAAATATTTTTCATCCTTATCCTGCACAGAAAGAGAAACAAACAAGTTTCATACTCAGTTTTTAGTAATTACTTGATGTATAGCTTTTTGTGTAGTATTCAGTTAGGACTTCACTCATAATTATTAGAGATACACATTATAATGAAATTTTCTATTGTTGCGTCAGCGAGTCACATGACCACGTGACGCAACGTTTCTAGAATTATCATGTACTTTGTCGAATGTTCAA